CTCGAAAACGATGTGTATTATGCAATGTCCAGGGTTCAGCTGACACTTTTCCTGGCCCCTGTGGCCAGCAGAGATGTTTATGGAGCTGAATACGTTCTCTATTAGTTTCAGGGGTAGGCAGAGGAGACATCAGGTGCCTAATAGAGCTGTCACAACAAAGTGCTATCACATGAAGGCTATTGGCTCCCTATGTGAAAGCAATAAAGTTGATTGTAAAAAAAAAAAAAAGCAACATTCCAAAAAAAATTAAACTTTTTGGTGTTCTTGAAGTCACCCATCCCTCACATACACACATATGAAAATGCAGTGTGTGCCTACGTAGGAAAACTATGATTGCATTACACATGGTATATTGCCACAACCATCCAAGCAAGAACAAGAGTTTTAAGGCCATCATTCAGGGTTGACTCTAAACTGATACCCTGTAAAGGCTTTAAAGAGAAGAATTATAAGGCTTGACAAGTTGTATATCTATTTACTTGTCTCAACATCATCTTTTATATTTCTAAAAAAAAAAACTGGATAATATATTGTGTTTGTCTGCACTAAAAATAACTTTAGTGTATGTTTTAGGCCCCTTTCACATAAACGTTCCGATCGGGTCCGCCTGTCCATTTCTCAGGCCGACCTGATCTGAAACCTCCATTATCCCCTATGAAGCAGCGGGTGTAAACAGACCTGTCTCCATTTACAGACAGAGGGGGATCTGTTCCCCTTCCATCCAGCAGATCCGATTGGGTGGCAGTCGGGTGTAAATGGACAGGTGGCCACATCAGACCACCCATAGAGGAGAGCAGGCTGTGTCCATGTCCGCTCTGCATAAGCATGGACCTGTCATTCGCCTGCTCAGCAGGGATCAGCAGACAGACCCCTGCTGAGCAAGCAGATCACAGGAGGATGCTGTTCATGTGAAAGGGGCCTTACTAATTTGGTAAACATGAATGTTACTGTCATGTTGAGATAAAATATTGCAACTGCCACCGTTTAAATCTCCAGGGTACTTGCTTTCAGAAAATATATACACTCACCGGCCACTTTATTAGGTACACCTTGCTAGTACTGGGTTGGACCCCCTTGTGCCTTCAGAACTGCCTTAATTCTTCATGGCATAGATTCAACAAGGTGTTGGAAATATTCCTCAATGATTTTGGTCCATATTGATATGATAGCATCATGCAGTTGCTGCAGATTTGTCGACTGCACATCCATGAAGCGAATCTCCAGTTTCAGCATATCCCAAAGGTGCTCTATTGGATTGAGATCTGGTGACTGTGGAGGCCCTTGGAGTACAGTGAAGTCATTGTCATGTTCAAGAAACACGTTTGAGATGATGTAAGCTTTGTGACATGGTGCATTATCCTGCTGGAAGTAGCCATCAGAAGATGGGTAGACTAGTCAAAAAGGGATGGACATGGTCAGCAACAATACTCAGGTAGGCCGTGGCATTTAAACCATGCTCAATCTGTTGATACAAGGCAAATTCTGACCCTGCCATCTGAATGGCGCAGCTGAAATCAAGACTCAGCAGACTAGGCAATGTTTTTCCAATCTTCTATTGTCCAATTTTGGTGAGCCTGTGTAAACTGTAGCTTCTGTTTCCTGTTCTTAGCTGACAGGAGTGGCACCCAATGTGGTCTTCTGCTACTGTAGCTCATGTGCTTCAAGGTTTGATGTGTTGTGCCTTCAGAGATGGTATTCTGCAAACCTTGGTTGTAACGAGTGGTTATTTGAGTTGCTTTTGCTTTTCTATCATCTCGAACCAGTCTGCCCATTCTCCTCTGACATCAACGAGGCATTTTTGTCTACACAACTGCAGCTCACTGGATATTTTCTCTTTTTCAGACTATTCTCTGTAAACACTAGAGATGGGTGTGCGTGAAAATCCCAGTAGATCAGCAGTTTTTGAAATACTTAGACCAGCCCATCTGGCACCAAGAACCATGCCACATTCAAAGTCACTTAAATCCCCTTTCTTCCCCATTCTGATGCTCGAGATAAACTTCAGCAAGTCGTCTTCAGCACATATAGATGCCTAAATGCATTGAGGCGCTGCCATGTGATTAGCTGATTAGCATTTTGTGTTACCAAGCAATTGAACAGGTGTACCTAATAAACAGGCCAGTGAGTGTATACTACTACTACTTTAGGTTTAAAATGTGAATTTTAACATGGCTGAAAAAAACATAGCAGCAAAGTGGTTAAGGCTGCAGACAGACATTAAAAAAAAAATCCAATACTTTCTATACAGGCCCATATACAGTTTTGAACAGTTTGGTGTGGAGTAAAGCCGGCCATACATGGATTGAAATTCCGCCTGTTCAGCAGGGATCCCTGTATGGGCCAGCTGGTTGTATACAAGTCAAACTATCAAATTGATTTGCGTACAACCAGCCTATCAAGTTTTTCCAGCAAGATTCTTGCAACAGTTATCATTGTATTCTGCCGGTGGGGAAAGAATTGGATAAATGGGTGTGCAACATGCTCATATAGGTGTGATATGTTTAGGTTTCCACAACCTTTGGATATGTATGTATGTATATGTATATATATATATATATATATATATATATATATATATATATATACACACACACACACACACACACATATATATATATATATACATACATACATACAGTATTTAATTTGTTTATTTTGCAGCCTACCTAGGGTTCAACTATTTATTGTGGAAAATATGATGGCACGACTATATAGTATTTATTTATGTGAATTGAATTGTTTATTGGGAATTATCCTGAAATAAAACAATGAACATTGAACCCTTAGGTGTTTAAAGACTGTATTTTCATTAAATAGTTATGAGACCACATAGAAATTACAGCAAAAATTCTAAGGATATGCGTACCTTGAATGCTGATTGACCTAAAAAATGTTAGCAGCATAATACTGATTAGAACTAGTCAGTTACAATTCCAGTACTGTTCTGACACTTGGAGGCTAGAGATGATGTACAGTACAGGACAATAAGATTTCTATCTATAAAACCGCTACAGTTGTGTTCACTGTAAATAAGAACGTTGTGAGACAACAGTACAAAATACACAGGAAGCTTTTCATCTTTAGCTACTTCATGATCTATATGTTACATGTAAAACAGAGCTTAAAACATACTATATTTCAATATTTCATTTACAACAAAATATACATAAAAATGAAGATAGTATGGACGTTTGGCAGATTCCTCTCCTATACGGATCTCACCATATGATGTACTACAGGTTCCCATGCTCTGCTGTAGCTGCATGTGTGTGACAATGGAGCGTACTCGGGGATGCTGCCTGACGGAAGCTCAGCTCTGTCAGCCACTTTTGTTAACGTGTGCAGTGGTCGGTTAGTGTTCCATGTGTGAATAACCACCTGAAATAAAACTCACACAAATTAATTCATCAACATTAAGATATACAGTATAAAGTGTAAAGTAAACATGCTGTGTCCAGTGGAGAGCCAATAGGCCAGGGGTGTATTTACCACAAGGCAAACAAGGCATGTGCCCAGGGTGGCATTTTTTAGGGGGGCAGAACTTCCCCCTGGAAGAAGGGACATATGAGGCATGGGGACCAAGTAAGATCCGAGAGACTGCAGGCTGCTTGATGGTGTATGCAAAGCCCAATTGTCATTCCCAGGATGTCCAGAACTGTGAAGATGAGTGGGGGGTGGTGAGTGTCAGTGGAAGGCTCTCTCAGGTGAGGGGGGGGGAATGGGGTGTTGTTGGTCACTGTCAGGCTCTCTCCGCAGGGAGGGGGGGGTGTTTGGTTTTGGTTGGTGTCAGGCTCTCTCCACCTGGGAGGGGGGGCGTCCGATTTTTGTGTTTCCTAGGGCAGCACAAAACCTAAATGCACCAGTGTAATAAGCTCCTTGAATGTTGAATCAAAGACTTGTCTGAACAGGGTCAATTTGTATGTTAGAAAAGGCTACAGGTATTCGACTGGATAGATCGAATACCTGTTTCCCCCATCACAAGCAGTGGTACATATTGCCAGCCTGTATGTCCTATACTGATGTTTGCACCAATGGGGAAAAACAACTGCATGTGATGGGGTAAACAGGTATTTGACCCATCCAGCCAGCTGAATATTTGAAGCAGTCAGCAAGAAGTGTTTTAACAAATGATCTGCCAGAAAGGTAAGTATACAAGGTGTGACAATTAAATTCCCAGAATGCCTGCAGCATAGCTCTACGATGGCGAGTCCCACATTCATACTTGAGCGTGTTTTGACATGTTCTAACTTGCACTCACCTGGGTCGCAGACCAGACGACTCAGAACTTTAGGGAGTAGTAGAAGAAATAACACATGCATGCTTTGTGCTGTTGGCAGAAAATGAATGACAGGAATCCGGAGCAGCGGATTTACATCAAATTTGCGTGAAAATTGGCAAAAGTTCAAGAGGAAGTTTAGCTCTGTTACAACAGGCTTATAGTGGACACTCCATGAAGAAATCAAGAGTTTTTGAATGACATAGGCAGTTTAGGGAGGGGAGGAAAGATGTCCATGATGACGCAAGAAGTGGACAGCCAAACATGCAAAGGACTGATGTAAATGTGGAAAATAAAAAGGTTACAGGAATCTGTTTGGAGGAAAAGACCGAAACTCTGGCCTGACAATTATATTCTCCACCACAAAAACTCTCCTGCACATGATGCAGAAAGTGCATTCCGGGAATACTTCTGACAGTGGCACAGTTGTCTAGAAAAGTGTGTCACTTCACAAGGGAGCTACTATGAAGATGACAACAGGTTCTAGTGTACAGGTAAGCAAACATATTTTTTTTTTTACATTCAGGGAATTAGCAGTCTCTTCTATTAGGCCTTAACCTATGCTGACAGGATCACGTTAACAAAGAGAATGTCAGGTGCTAAAACAGAAAATTGGAAGGAATGCATCAAAAGTTTCAGAATGAACCCAGGCAGGGCCTCTCTATACCTATACATTGCCATTGTGTAAATATGTATGTCTATATGGTACAAACCTGGGGGGGTGTCATGAATGCTCCTCAGTGGTCCCGCTGAAAGATCGACTTCGCACATGGTTTCTAAGTTGTTGTATCAGTTCAGGGTTTTGCTGCTGAATCTGTTGTGCAAACTGTTGTCCACTACAAAACATAGATGAAACTGTTTTTTTTTGCCATTATTGTTATGTGGAATTCTGTTTTCTTCTCTTTTTTTTTTAACGTGTTTATTGTGTTTTATGAACAGTCACAAAGTCCTGATTGATCACATACTTACGCTTGGATAAGACCCGAGAGGTCTGTTAGCCCTCCAACACCAGCTGCAGGACCCCCTCCTGCATTAGACATCATTCCAGACATCCTGCAAGGGGTTAAACAATAGAGTAAGTGCTGCACAGTACCAGTACAGGGGTTTCCATGCATTGTATATACAGTATTTGTGTGTGTGCATTAACAGTAGATAAAGATGATGGCTCTACATAATAATGAGCCGTGAGGATACAGAGTAAAGCAGGGCAATAACTTCACAACACGATATGACAACTTCACAAGAAGACCTAGTTAAAACAGAGGGGTGGGTATCTATATGGAATATAAGGTTTCATATTGAAAAATATAAAGTAAAGCACTTGAGGACTGGACTTGGTGCTGAGGATTTGTGATGGGAAGGGAAATTCGGGGGGGGGGGGGGGGGGGGTTGTGTTGGCGGGATGAGCTGGGCAGGGAAGAGGATTTTTGCTGGGGAGGTAGAGTTTGCAGGGGGTGGAGATTTGTAGATGATTTGTGCTGAGAGGAGGGATTGGAGCAGATTTGGGAGGAGGAATTTGTGTGAGGGGGGATTTGTGCTGGAAGGGGTTGGAGAGGATTAGTACTGACAGGGGGATTGGGGAAGATGACTTGTGCTGGGAGGAGATTTGAGGGGAGAGAATTAGTACTGGGAGGGGGGGGGGGGCTTAAGAGAAGAAGAGAATTTGTGCTGAGGGGGAGAATTTTTCTGGGGAGGGAGGAGAGAGTTTTTGGGGATTTGGGGGACAAAAGGATTTGTGCTCGGAGGAGAGGATCTGTGCTGGGGGAGGGGGGATTTTTGGAGAGGATTTGTGCTAGAAGGAGAAATTTTGGTGAAGGGAGATGATTTGTGCACAGATGAGGAATTATGGGGGGAATATTATTTGTGCATGGTGGTGGGATTTGGGGGGAGAGAAATGAGTGCTCAGGGTGGGAAATTGGGGTAGGAGAGGATTTGTGCTAAGGGGGAAAGATTTGAGGAAGAGAGAGGATTGGGGGTAGGTGAGGATTAGTACTGAGAGATGGAATGTGGGGGGAGAATTTGTGCTAGGAGGTTACATTTAAACATCTGACTTCTACACATGTCTGACCCAAGTATTTTATTGCACTATGTATCCCTGGGCCAGGTAGTCTGTGGGTTATACATTCGTGTGTGTGTGTGTGTGTCAAGCGGTTAATAAACACATCCATTTAAATCTGTTCAGATCCAACTACATAGAAAAAGACACAGCCATGTTTCATTTAAACAGACAGTTCTGAACAGACATGGATATAAAGGGATGATCTGTTTTCTGCAAATCCATAGGAATGAATTACTGTCCGTTTTTCATCCAAAAACAAACAGAATGTCCACATGAAAGGGCCCTTATGTAGAAAAGGTAGGTACCCCTCTACATTTACCACCACTTCAAATTAATGAAATTAGAAATTGGGTATTCCAGATTCAAAGCCAATAATTAAAACCTCCCAAGGTCCCCTGCACACGGTGCTGTCCAGCTGCAGCATGTCTCTCCTGGCATTTTAATGCGGATAGATAGATGCAGCATCCAGCCCGCAGCAGGCAGTCTGTCAAAGCCTATGGCAGGCTGCAGGTGGATGGAGCTTAATGGTGTTTTGAGTGGTACCAGCACTTAGGACCCTGTTCGTTCAGAGATGAAGGTCCAGAAAGCAGAAGACTACTCGGTACAGTGTTCAGCCCAATCCAACTGCAGCCTGCCATAGACTGACAGACTGCCTGCAGTGAGACTGGATGCTGCAGCTGTCCCTCCCAGGCACTACAGCACAGCAGCCCCATGTGCAAGAGGCTTCATAGATTATGCAGGTGGAATCTTTCTTATTTGAACCTCACATATCTACTTTTTACTAGGCACTGTATAAAGAAGTAGGTACGACTCTACTCAGAGTACTTATAAATGATAGAAATATACAGGGCTTTTTTTCTTAAAACATAGGTGCAGGAACTCCAACTTTCTGAGTCACTTCTTGCCCCTGCCCCCCTACTCACCCCCACCCAGTACTGCTCCTTTTAGAGAATACAGACCCAAGCATCATTTCATGGTGCTAAATAATTTGAATGGAGTTTGTTAATGATAACAAGAAAAGCAGAAAAATAGATCCCCCGCAGCCGGCAAAAATAGACCCCCCAGCAACAATAGATTCCTCCTGCAACAACAGAACCCCAAAACGAAATACCACCCACGCAACAATAGACCTCCAGCAGCTACAACAGATCTCCCAGCAGCCAGCATCAAACTCTTTGGGAGCCAGCAACAATCGACAATAGACCACTCCCTCAACCAGCAGCAACAGATCCCCTACCAGCAACAACAGACCACCAACAGATCCTCTTCAGTTAGAATAGATCCCCAGCAACATTAGATCCTCTGACACACTCCAGCACCCTTTGCCATTACATACATTCAGTGCTGGAGTTGCCGGAACTGCGTTTCCGGTGAAAAAAGCCTTGGAAATATATATTTATGCCAAACCAATATTTCAAAGGGATGGAAGGTGCCTTAAACATTCTTTGCTGTGTAGTAGCTCTTTTACTGTATATAGAGGTGTACTATTCGAAAAACCTACCGCTTTGTATTCCCTTGTAATGGAATGGAATTATTCAAACACTTAGTAGAAATAAACACTATGCTTTTAGTAGTTTTACATTCTAGGGTCATTGATCTTGATGCCCAGTAAGGACAAAACAAATAATCATCTTTGCACGATTTTATGACTTCTAAAACGAGTAATCTCTGTAATATAGGTGACAAGGTATAGGGCTTACAGGCGTTGCACTTGTGGATCCTGCATCAAACTGGCTGCCTGGAAGAGGGGAGGAAAAATAAAACATACACTAATAGCAAATGACAGGTAAAAACTGCTACAGTCAAACATTGGCAAAAGAATGTTACAATATATTAAGCCTAACCATTTGTTCACCCCAGTCACTACTGATGTCACCGTGTCACTGTACAAGAGGTGTCACACGATAAGATGTCACCTAAATTACTTATGCTACCTTCAGGATGAATTTCTCAGCGCAACCACATTTTGTACGAGTCAGGTGAATGGGAGGTAAAAAGAAATATACTGTCTAAGCTAGTGGTTCACGGGACAAAAACCTTAAAATGCTGTTCTAACTCATTTAGGTTAGGTTCACACCTATGCAGTTTGCGTTTGATCCATTTGTGCATTGCGTTTTTGCACATGCGTTTTTTAATGTGTTTTTTGGTTTCCATTTTTTTTTCTTGTTGCTAGGCAGATTTAAAATGCAAAAATGTTGCAAAAAACACACTACATGCTCTTCTGCAGCGTTTTCATTGAAGTCTACAGAACCAAAAATGCTACTTTTTGCGTTTAAAAAAAGTTGTCCTGGCCCTTTCCAAAAAATGCACCAGGTGAAAAACGCGGAGGTGTGAACGTGTCCCATAGGAAATCACGTTAAATGGACTGTAGTGCGTTTCTGCAAAACGCTGCGGAAAACGCTTAGGTGTGAACCTAGGGTTACTTATTTTAGGTGCAAAAATATATTTAGAATTTAAATTAAAATGAAAGTTACACTAAACTCTGGTTTAAAAAATATATTCTTGAGTAACTTAAAGTGGAGCTCTGCCCAAAAGGGGAAGTTACGCTTTAAGCCTTTGTCCCCCACTCCCCGTTAAAGATTGGCACCTTGGGGAGTGGGTACCTGAATTTGACAGGTACCCGCTCCCACTTCCGCTGCAATCGCCTAAGACCAATCCCCGTAGTCTTCTGGGACACATGACAGGTCCCAGAAGACTACAGGACCGTTCACAAAGCGCAGCACTACTCGCGCATGCGCAGTGGGCACCTGGCTGTGAAGCCAAAAGCTGTCACAGCTGGGTGCCCACACTGAAGATGCTGGGGAGAGAAAACCGCTGGTGAACCCAGCCGTAGTGAGGACACTGCTGGACTGAGGGACAGGTAAGTCTCTGTATTTTAAAAGTCAGCAGCTACAGTTTTTGTAGCTGCTGACTTTTATTTATTTTTTTTTAACTGGAACTCTGCTTTAAATAAGTACTTAAATGAATTTGGAGGAGGCTGACAAAAAATTAGTTTTTTGCTGTTGTCATCTGACTTGCTGTTAGAGGGTGGCTATGTTTACTTTCCATGGTCCCACTGAACATAGCCACCCTTTATTCTTCACTCCCAAGATGGACTAGGGGCTACGGACTATGGGATTTGTAGTATACATACAGCAGTGCACATGATCGCAACTGCATTGCTTTTTTCAAACAAATGGAAGTGAGGGGGAAAAAAGGAGAGGTTTGGGATCTCATGGAGGACAATAGAAGGTGGCAGAAAAACACAGTAAGAAATGATTTAATGAAAAATATTATAAATATTTTCTGATAGTGAACATGCAGACTGAAGAACAGAGCAAAGTGAGCCGAGTTGATGACTCCTTTATTGTCCAATTAGCAGGTTTGAGACTGTGTTGTCCAAACTTTGCTGCTACTGCTGCAGGGAAAACTGGGTACACACGTAGAGTTTTATCTCTTTCAACCCTGCAGGATGAACAAAAAAAAACCTGAGAGGTCAGTGTACTGACTAAGCGGTGATAGTGTGGCGATCTCTCCTGCTGTGCTATTGTGTTCTTACAGGGGGACGCCAGAACATCCTGATTGGGTGCTGGTTTTCCAGCATGCTCATTCAACAGAAGCCAATCATGAGACCGTCTTCTGTTGGACAGGGAGCTGTGCACACGGGCCAAAAGTCGTCAGGTTCCTGCAGCTGTTTTCGGTCCGTGTGTATCCACTTTAAAGCAGAGTTCCACCTGAAAATAAAAAAAAATAAAAGTCAGCAGCTATAAAAACTGTAGCTGCTGACTTTTAAAATACAGACACTTACCTGTCCCTCGGTCTGGCGATGTCCTCACCACCGCTGGTTTCACCGGCCGTCTTCTCTCCTTGGCGCCGGCATCTTCAGTGTGGGCACCCGGCTGTGACAGTTTGCGGCTTCACAGCTGGGTGCCCACTGTGCATGCGCGAGAAGCGCTGCACTTTGTGAATGGGTCCGTAGTCTTCTGGGACCTGTCACGTGTCCCAGAAGACTACTGGGAGGGAGGGAGGACAACTTCTGCTTCCGATCACCTAGGTGATCACAGAGGAAGTGAGAGCAGGTACCTGCCAAATTTGGGTACCCGCTTCCCAAAGGTGCCAATCCTTAATAGGAAGCGGGGGACAAAGGCTTAAAGCGGAACTTTACCTTTTGGGTGGAGCTCCACTTTAAGGATCTGTCTTTCAAGTTTACGGTAGAGAATTACAAATCCTTCAGCATGTAAAATACTGTAGTTCCCATGCTCCTAGTTATTAAGCTGCTTGCCTTGAGTTCAGTTTTACTTTTATGGTGGTGGCCCCCCAAAAAAATCTATGCTCAATTTTAACATATGATCATCTTACCAATGCCAGCCAATTATCTCTGACTTCTTTGTGTTAGGAACACATAGGGCGATATACAGGATCGCAAGCAAAAGGCTGCATCCACACTGATCGGTTTTTCCCCCGTTTTTGCAATCAAAGAAGCGAAAGAAAAATATGAACATTAAATCCTACAAAACTCTTCACAGTGGTCAGTTGTGGGTCAGTTGCGTTTTTCAAAGTCCTGCAAATTGCGTTTTTGGTGCATGTTTTGTGTGGTAAAAAAAACACCAAAAACATACCTCCCCATTGAAATGAATGGAAAACACATCAAAAACATGGCAAAAAAAACACATAAAAAATGGACCTATGTTTTTTTTTTTTTTTAGGTGCATTTTTTTAGTCAAATGGCTTTCTTTAACAAAAAGTGCAAAGCGCACAGGAAATGCAATAAAATGCTCAAAAACATATGCGTTTTTACCACATTTTTGCAAAGGAACGGTGTGAAAGTAGCCTAACAACCAACTACCATGGCAATTATGCATTCAATTTAAGTAATTTAGTTTAGCTTCAGTTAACTATAATTGTTCCAGAATATAAATGCAAAGTACAGGGACATCTCACCATGCTCACGAAGGCTGGGTTATTCATGAGGCTCGCCATATCAAAATCCCCATCCAGCACTTGTCTATAGGAAAAGCAGAGATGAATTACTGGTATATAAGAATGCATTATAACTGGATAATGTTATGTAAAAGAAAGAAGTAGATTGCTGATTCAAGGAGTATCTGATTGCCTTGGATCAGGGAGAATTGTTTCTCCTGGTGGAGTAAATCGGACCATGATTAACTTTTTTTGCCTTCCTCTGGATTATCTGAGGGTTTAGGATTCTGAAGATAGAGGTTTTATTTATTTATTTATTTATGTCTTTTGGTGGAACTTGATGGACATGTCTTTTTTAACCTATCTATGTAACCATTATTAACAGTCCTGTAATATAGACACAACCTGAAAAAGGCCCTTTTTGGGATAAGCATGCAAACCTCCTATAAAATGCCTGCACCTCCAATCATCCCTGTAAGCATATCTAACCATTAAATGTCACCCACCACATGGTACTAACTATACCAACCCCTATTAAGATGCTGATCACTTGGTCTCAACTAAAGCCTACTTTGGTCAGGTCATTCCATGCTTCTTCGCTTCAGGTCATCCCCCCATGACTCTGATGTCCCAAGAAGATGTCTTATCGACGAAACATGTGTAGGGCAGAGTTTAGCGGTGACATCATCACGCCCGTCCGTAACTCCGGCGGTACTGTGTATTATTCTCTCAATACTCTTTTGTTTGTGAGTATTTTATCAGGTTTACTATTAATAAATGCTATACAGTACTTCACTATGGGATATCCCTGTTCTTTCCTTGGTATATATTTGACGTGGTAAGATCAGTATATGAGAAGAGATCCAGTGACCATTTTGGGGCATGCCATATTTTATGTGGGAGATGCTTGAGGCGTAGTTGGCTGTGAGAGAAATCCATTTGGAGCCATCCATGTGGGATATTTTATCATCTAATACTAATTTAGACCTCTTATGGTGTGGAGTCTAAATATCTGGTAGGCGACTTCATAATCACATGGTGGTTGGTGAACACTGGGTATATAAAGATTTTGTTGTCACTGACAGTGGACTTTATCAATTGGTTTAACACTGGACTTTATTACTGATAATTATATCTACACTTTTAGATTATTTATTTCACTTATTGATTTTGTGTGACAGAGCAACACTATTTTTGAATTGATGCTTTTGATATATACAGTATGTGTAGATATCAGTGAGTGCGGCAGCCAATAATTTCACCCTGATTTTTGATGGGGTTTGATTACGGTATTTTTTCTAGCACAGGATATGTATTATTTGTTCACACATTCCCAGCTTCCACCTTGTATATTTAGAAGGATGTTGATCAGGTTTTTCTTTAAGTCATTATCAATGGAAATTTATTTATAACCGTTTAACAATGTAGTCACTTTACAGTAAACTTTCTGGCCATAGACGGTTCGAATCTGTGCTGAGTCAGCAGAGGCCAGCTAAGATTCGAACCATGTATGGGCAGGCTGAATTTACAACCATACATGGAGATAGGTTGGTGCAAATGAATGACCTCTGGTTTGTCAATAGTCCCACTGTGAGGGGAGAAAGAAAAGGGGGGACCAGAGGAGAAAACCCACTGCTGAGTCCGGCAGAGAATCCTCGGGGGCTCCAGGACAGTAGACAGTTCAAGGCTAGCCTTCAGGGTAGAGAAGAAGCAGATCTCCAATGTGACATGTGGAAAGAGAGGTAGAGAAGGCACCACTGAGTGCAGACTGTAATGCACTTTATTAACCACTTGCCCTCCTGAGGATTTACACCCCTTCCTGACCAGGCCATTTTTTGCGATACGGCACTGCATTATTTTAACTGACAATTGCGCAGTCATGCAACGCTGCACCCAATTTAAATTTACATCCTTTTTTCCCCACAAATAGAGCTTCTTTTGGTGGTATTTGATCACCTCTGGGGGTTTTCTTTTTGCGCTATAAACAAAAAAGACAATTTTGAGAAAAAAAAAATTGGGGGGCTTTTTGCTATTAAATATGTCCAATAAAAAAATTTTAAAAATCAAATTTCATCATCAAGTTAGGGCAAAATGTATTCTGCTACAAGTCTTTGCTAAAAAAAAATCCCAATACGTGTAAATTAATTGGTTTACGTGAAAGTTATAGCGTTTAGAAATGGCGGTATATATAGTGGAATTTTTTTTACTAGTAATTGTGGCGATCAGTGACGTTGGCGGGCATTCTGACACTGGGGGGAACTGATTTGGTGCCACTGACATCCCCAGTGACACCAATACAGTGATCAGTGCATAAAAAGCACTGACACTGTACTAATGCACTGGGCAGGAAGGGGTTATCATCTGGGGCGCTGAAAGGATTAACTGTGTGCTGTGTGTGTTTTACTATGAGGATGTGTCTGTGCTTTCCACTGTAAGCACACTGCTTCACACAGTGTGCTGGAGCGGACAGGGAAGAGAACTGTATTGTTTACATACAGTTCTCTCCCCCATCAGTAATACTCGGCAATCACCGGGGTCGGCGAGTAATCGCCAGGCGGGACCCAGAGATTGACAGCCAAGGCCGCGAATGGCGGCGCAGGTAGGGCGCGCCCCCCTACCCGGAAATGCAAAATCATGTATATATACACATGTAATTTTAAGCACCCTGCCACCCTGTAGCAGTATTTCCGCTATAGGGCGGTGGGAAAGCGGTAACAAAATAGCTGAGAATACACTCATATTTGGGAAAATATATACAGGCACATCTGCAGTCTATAGGAATCTTCCGGGACTGGTGTGGAAACGCTGCTGGTGGAGGATATCCAAAACTTGGTCCAGAGCCGGCTATGAGGTGCAGCAAGGCCCGATTGCCACTGTAGAGTGCGGTGGAATGCAGCGTTTGACGTGAAGTGTATGACCGGAAGTGACGCAGCAACATTTTGGAGCATGCGCACCAGCTATGGGGGCACACTCCTTTGACAAACGTGGTTACGTCAAACACTGCGTTTCACCACACTCTACAGTGGCAATCCAGCCTTGCTCCACCTCACCAGCCAGCTCTTGACCATTTTTTGGATATCCACCACCCGCAGCGTTTCCACACCAGTCCTGGAAGATTCCTATAGACTTCAGATGTGCCTGTATTTATCTTTCCAAATGTGAGTGTATTCTCAGCTATTTTTTAATAAAGTGTATTACAATCTGCACAGTTGCGCCTTCTCTACCTCTCTTTCCACATGATTTACAACCAGCTTGTCGGATTTGACATGCGATTATTGCCAATGGCTATTATAGCCGCTATAGCAGTAAGCACTGTGTTCTCCTAGTGGGGACAGCTTCCCCCAAAGGGAGAACACAATGGCTCCATGGGAGGGATTCCCCCATTAACACCGACTGTGCTGATAGGGGAATCAAGTTATTTTATTTCCTGAAACTCCCCACAGATTGTTAAACTAGATCTAAAAAAAATGCAAATACCAAGCACAATGAAGTTCCAGGGGATATGTAAATTACCACAGTATGGGCAGCTCCAACAACTCATCTGACCAGCAATGAGATGTAAGCACAAAACAAAAAACAAAAGGAACGTTCCCAACCCCCAACACTGTGGAAGTAAATAGAGTCACAAGCCCAGGAATGATGACCAGCTTCTCTCCTTTGGTTTGACATGGTTTGAATGCTCTCCTAGGCTTCCAGTTTGCCCTCACCAGCAGTTGTTTGGGCGGTCTTTTGCCAGGTGTATGACATCACATCTGGTTCCGAGACATGTGATCCCTCTAGCAGCCATCCACACACTCCTCCCACTGTCCTGAGGTTCCTGGGCTGAGCAACCTACTGTTGGGTCCGGATCATATGTCATCCTCCAGCTTCTGGGAATGTGTTTCTCCTCTCGACTAGCTTGGTGATGTATCAATTTGGGCACTCCTACATGTCTTGCTTTTTAACCCAATATTTTGATTTTGACTGTTCCTGGGCTTGTGACTCTATTGACTTCCACAGGGTTGGGAGAGCTCCTTTATTTGTTGTTTGGTTTTCAAACTAGATCTCACCTGCAGATTACTACCACATGTAAGCTGCCATGGATTGGTGCCAGGAAAGGAAGATTATTGTAAGTATTTGATACAATTTTCCTTTTTGTTTTCCTACCACATGATTTGCCTCATTCACTTAAGTGAAGTTAAATTCACTCTGAGGAGTGAACTTACTCTCTACTAATTTAGGAAATTATCCTATAGTCTTCTTTGTACACGCTTTCAGACACTTTACCCATGGAATTTGCTGTATAGAAATGATAAGTTACTGCTACAGAAGGAAGGATAGCATCATTAGCAAAAAAAAGTTCAATTTTCCTTTATTACACCAGTACACTCATTTTTTAAAAGTCAAGATGCACTTACCGGACTGGGGACTTGTCTGACTTTCTGTTCTGCAATCTTCAGATAGGATTTATAGGATTCATTTTCAGGATCTAGATCCAAGGCTTTCTGGTAGCTGCTGATTGCTTCTTTGTACTTATTTAAGGCTGCCAGGGCTCGTCTGTACACAAATGGCACCATACAATACTGTTTAATAAGCTTCAGAAAAGCTTATTTCACACGTTATAACAATCATTTAACCTTGATAGTATTAATAAAATATATCTAGAGCCCTGTAGAGGGTTTTATGTAGCCCTGGAGAGAACAAGAAGCAACCCCTGTCAGATTTTTATTGCTGTCTATGTCCTTGCTGGGGAGATTTACCTTCTCTGTCTGTCTTGGTGAGTATGGTCACCAGTACAGGAAGTAATGAGAAATCAAAAATATTATGGTTGTGACTAGAACAAAGTAGAGGAGAAACCTGTTTTGGTGAAAACTATCAAATGTGGAATCCCCCTTCACTTTGAAATGACTCTCCCTCACTTCATGTCCTGCCTCTGGGACAGAAAGAGAGCCGAAATCTCCCCTGGGATACAGACAGCAAAAAAAAAATCCCCAGAAAAACAAAAGCACCTGACTGGGGTTTTTACTGTTCCATAATTTATCCAAAATGTAACCAACATTTGGCTCAATACATACTATAAATATAAAGGATGGAGTAGATTTGTAAAGTCTTATCTCACACTTTGCAACCCCGTCTCCATGCAGTAAGTTCTAATAATTTCATTATATTTCATACAATACACATATACTAAAAATGTAATTAGGTTCAAGTAGAAATACTGCTTACACAGAACACTCTGCATGTAATAATGCTAGTTATTGATTAGTCAAGTGCTAACCACTTCAAACGGTTCACTCCATATGTGGATGCTATGTAGTGCTCTTAAATGCAGATTTAGTGGTATCAGTGCATGTGGATTTGTTTTTTTTAATGTATAAAGGATCTGCAGGAACAGGCCTTTGTGAACACAATATTCTAAATTAAACTGCAGCTGCTTGCTGAAAACCAAAACGCTACAAAACAATGTGAACTTACAAAATGTAAAGATTGTACCAACAATGTACATTCACATAAGTATTCCGAAAAACAGCCAGACAATCTCTTACCCCATTCTCCCGTAGGCTTTGCTGTACTTTTCATCAATTGATATGGCTTTTTCACAGTCTGTTATTGCATCTTCATGGTGACCTAACTGACTATGTGCGGCGGCCCTGGAATATATGCAGAAATAGAAAAAATAAATAAAAAACAGCTGTTTTGCAATACATTTTTAATGGAAGAAAAACTAGCAAATTATGGAATGGAAAGAAAACCTGCCTAATATCACAGGGGTCTATTTATATTTTCACCGCTATCTTGTAGACTGGGTTCAAGTTACCGAATTCCCTATTGTCATTACTGTATGCACTATGGCTTATGAATAATGTCAAAAATTGCTTATGAGTAAGGGCTTATAATTTCAGAAGGTAAAATAAAAAATTTGACCTATAGGAAGATGTAGTATGAATTGCACCTTGGGGACTATTTCTTGTTGTTATCTGCAGCCTTGGGACTGACCCTGATTGGCTCCATACAACATGATCTCAAATGACATATAATGGTGCTCCAGCAGCTGTGCAAGTTCCTGGTGAAAGAGGACATTTGGTGCCGCTGAATGCTGTGCCTTACTCAAGCAACTTCACACCAGCACCACAAGGAAACAATAGGGGATTAGATTCATTCTACAATAAAACCTAAATAAAACAGGAACAACAGGACAACTTTATTGAAAAACAACACATTAAAGTGTTTGTAAACCTCTGAAATTAAATATGAACAAAGCATTTCCCTCTATAGTGTGTACTTGTCTCAATCCTAAGCACGAAGTGTAATTTTTGTCTGCTACCTCATTCCTATGCTATCTGGATAAGCCACTTCTGACAAGACAAAAAGGGTACAGGGGAGGAAGCTCCAGCACACAGCATGTGAATGACAACTCAGCTCTGTTCCTTTGTGATGGGGGGGGGGGGTCCCTTCCCTTCCATCAGCTCTCCTCACTGAACTATGCAGAGTAACTTCAGCTCCCCACCCCCTGCTCACTGAAAGCTCAGAAATGATGTATAAATTCTGCACTGTCAGATGTCTATGATAGTGAGCCTTTGTAAATAGCCAACTCAAGGTTCACCTGGGCTCAGAGCTTAAGCTCCAGCCTGCTTCTTCACCAGGGCTCCTGATGGTGGGGATGGACTTGCAGCAAGCTGGAACCAGGTCACAACCCCCAGGTACACCCAGCTGTGGAATGCCAAGAGACAGACTCGATTCCAGGAAACAAGCTTAGATCAGGGCAGGTGGCAGGCAAGCACAGATGGGAGACAATGTCAGGGGAAGTCAGACAGAATACACATAATAGCAGACAAACAGGAGCTCAGGGAACCGGGAAGTTGCTCAGGCAATATAGGCTGCACTAAGCATGCCTTATATAGGGAAGCAAACTCAGAGGTGGGCCAGGTAGTGATGGAAGGAAAGGAAATATAAACCCACAGAACAGCAGGTGACATCTAAAGGTGAGCACAGATGCCAAACAACACACGTGAAAGGAATCAGGTCTAGAAGAATCACTGCAGCAAAGAGGTAAGAAATACACAGGCAGGAAAACTGCAGACTAAATTGTGACATGCACTTTGAACAACTGTAGAGAAAAGAGGACTGCAGATAAACAGGTACAACCTATGTAGAAAGATTTGTTTCGTCTCTGTGTGTCATCTGAGGCTAGTCACTTCACTGGGTGTATGTAAGGGTTTACAACCACATTAAGTAGCACAATTGACAAAATATTGATATTCTGAGACAAGAACACACATAATAAGTGTTGAAGTAGAACAAATTTAATAAAGAAATAGTACCTGTTGCAGTAATATACCGCATTGTTTGGATCCAACTCAACTGCCTGTGAGTAGCACTCTACAGCAGCTTCATAGTTCTGTTCCTTCATGTAATTGTTACCTGAATCAGAAATATGTATCATTTAGAAAATACCTAGAGAAATGTTATTGTTTCTGTTTTCTCTCTAATGCTGGTTTAAGTATAGCACAAAAAAGGTATGTAAAATAGGCAAAAAAACTATCTAAACTATAATTCCTTTGTAATTTACTACTGTACTACCTGGGGACCGATTCTGTAATCTGGATAAACTCAAAGTTTCCTCTATTGCACAATTATTATTATACAGGATTTATAAAGCACCAATAGTTTGCTCAGCGCTGTATATTACAATGGGAGACAATACATGAGACAGTACAATAACAATACAATACACAAGGGGTTCAAGGGCCCTGCTCCTTGGAGTTTACAATCTAGGAGGGCACTAGGATTACTTGTGGTACTATTTATTGTGTTTTGTCTATTACATGTTGCAATTTTATTATGGACTCAGCCTTAGAAGGATTTCAGCTTTGTGACCTTTCTAGTGAAACTAAACTCAAAAAATAAAGATTTCCTAGGTTGTAAAGATTTAAATGTGCCATTGCAGTACCCTGAAAAAGTATCTTTTGTCTGGACTTCTTCCTGAAAAATCTAGCAGGGCTGGTATTTGAGGGTGCCTAGGTACTCTTATTCCTACAGCCTCTGTATATATGTAGCATGAGATTATAACACTGCCACCTCTGACTGCTAATCCCAAGAGATTTGGAGTGTGCTGTGCTGATCTCACTACTGTTCTCATAGTAGGTTAAAACTGGCCATACGCGTATAGATTTTCATTCAAGAATTTTCATTTCAAGAATATTCAATTGATTTTGTAATAGTTAGTGGAGTCGAATCGATGTTCGTTTTCTACAGCAGTGACGGGAAAATTCAAAGGGGCAGGAAAGAAAACTTCTCGATCAAACAAATTTTCAGCAGGTGTATGTGGTTATCGTTCAGAACTTACATTCATTTTAAAATCGAATGTTAAAAACAAAAGACAATATTCGAACGACATTCGTCCATTCATCGAATGTTCAAAGAATTTTCGTAACGATTTTTCTAATGAATATTCTCACCCCAAAAATCTACATGTGTATGGCCAGTTTAAAAGCTGATTCACACATGTGCAGTGCGGACTGAAGCTCAGGTTTCACAGCAAATTGATACAGTAGTTGTTCAGCGGGTCATGTCAGGTTTACATCAGGTTCAGGACAGGATTAGCTCAGGATTTTATCCTGTTCAAACATGTGCAGTTTAAGAACGGTTCCCACAGAAGTCAATAGCCTGTAATCTGCACCTGAATCCACTGCTCAGAAATCGGACATAACTCTTTTTAAAATGGCACTGACTCCGCACTGCCAGTACACCGGACATACAGGTGAAACTCGAAAAATTAGAATATCATGCAAAAGTTCATTTATTTCAGTAATGCAACTTAAAAGGTGAAACTAATATATGAGATAGACTCATTACATGCAAAGCAAGATAGTTCAAGCCGTTATTTGTCATAATTGGGATGATTGTGGCTTACAGCTCATGAAAACCCCAAATCCACAATCTCAGAAAATGAGAATATTGTGAAAAGGTGCAATATTCTCAGCTCAAAGTGTCCCACTCTAATCAGCTAATTAAGCCATAACACCTGCAAAGGGTTCCTGAGCCTTTAAATGGTCTCTCAGTCTGGTTCAGTAGGAATCACAATAATTGGAAAGACTGCTGACCTGAGAGTTGTGCAGAAAACCATCATTGTTGCATTACTGAAATAAAAACTTTTGCACAATATTCTAATTTTTTGAGTTTCAACTGTATGTGAACAGGCACCCTAGGAAGCAATGGTATTTCACATGTCATGCGGATTGGATGACGTTCAAACTGCATCCAATCCGCATATACTGTATGTGAACAGGCACCCTAGGAAGCAATGGTATTTTTCACATGTCATGCGGATTGGATGACGTTCAAACTGCATCCAATCCGCATATACTGTATGTGAACAGGCTCTGACATAAGAAAGCAAAACCCTATCTCTACCAGGATTACTGGCTTCACACTGAGCCCTGGTTCACACTGATGCGGTGCGGAATTTGCAGCGTTCTCTGTGCGAATTCCACACCGCATCAGAATCGCACCCCGTTCATGTGAACCGCTGCAGGTGTGTATGTTAAGTTAACAACACCCCAAAAGTGGTCTGCAAAACGCGGCATGTGCAGAATGGTGTGAATACCCATGCAATCCGATTCTAGTGCGGACCAAAAAAAGGGTCCTGCACATTTTTGGTGCGGTGCGATTAGAGCCATACAAAATGTATGGATCCAATCGCACCACACACAAATCACTTGCGATTTGTACAGGAATGCAGTGCGGTTCCTGTGCGAATCACATGCGATATACCGCACCACATACAGTTGTGGCCAAAATTATTCAACCCCCACTGACATTGCTTTTGATCATTCAGTCATCATCTTGCTTACATTTACATTTAAAGAGGCACTTGTAGGGACAAATATAACATAACAGTTATAATGAAATAACCACAAATGTCTTTTCTGTGCTCACAGCATTATCAGTTTTATTCAACCCCCAAGTGACATTCAATCTTAGTACTTAGTACAGGCATCCTTTTACAGTTATAACAGCTTTTTAAAACGTGAAGCATAGCTTGACACAAGTGTCTTGCAGCGATCTACGGGTATCTTCGCCCATTCTTCATGGGCAAAGGCCTCCAGTTCAGTCACATTCTTAGGCTTGCGCACTGCAACTGCTTTCAGGTTCTCAATCGGATTTAAGTCTGGTGACTGCGATGGCCACTCCAAAATGTTCCAGCCTTTCCTCTGCAACCATGCTGCTAGTGGACTTGGAGGTATGCTTGGGATCATTGTCCTGTTGAAAGGTCCAACGTCTCCCAAGCCTCAGGTGTGTGACGGACTGCATCACGTTTCCATCCAATATCTCCTGGTACTGAAGAGAATTCATGGTACCTTGCACACGCTGAAGCTTCCCTGTACCTGCAGAAGCAAAACAGCCCCAAAGCATGATTGACCCTCCACCATGCTTCACAGTAGGCAAGGTGTTCTTTTCATCATAGGCCTTGTTCTTCCTCCTCCAAACATAGCGTTGATCCATGGGCCCAAACAGTTCTAATTTTGTTTCATCAGTCCACAGAACACTATCCCACAACTTTTGTGGTTTGTCCACATGGCTTTTGGCATACTGCAGTCGACTCTTCTTATTCTTTGACAGCAAGGGGGTACGCCTGGGAGTTCTGGCACGGAGGCCTTCATTACGCAGTGTGCGTCCCTGGGCTGAAACTTCTGTACCCACATCTGACAAATCTTTTCTCAGTTCCTCAGCAGTCACACGGGGACTTCTCGGCTTCAGGTAGCGCACAGCAGTCGAAGTCAGCATCTTCTTTCTGCCACGACCAGGTAGGTTTCAACAGTGCCCTTTGCCTTGAATTTGCGAATGATGCTTCCTAAGGTGTCTCTTGGTATGTTTAACATCTTTGCAATCTTCTTATAGCCATTGCCCTTCCTGTGAAGAGAAATCACCTCTTCTCTTGTCTTCCTGGACCATTCTCTTGCCTTCACCATGTTTGTAACCACACCACAGTAAATGTCTAGAAGGAGCTGAGTATCACAGTCATTGCCTAATTGGTGCTTATTATGCTTGATTGCTGCTCAGGGTGACATCCACAGGTGTTTTCAATACCTGATGGAAAGCACCTGTATGAACCTCTGTTCTTCAGAGTGGTACTTTAAGGGGTTGAATAATTGTGGCAATGAAGAAACCACATAAGAACCATTTTACTACTAAGACTGTATTACATAAACAATTGATGTCATTTTAGTTGCATTTGGGGTTACAACGTCCTTGTAGGATTTGATTCTGAATACAATTCCAAATGTACACTATAGTCCCTAAACCCCTTTACAGCATTGGGGGTTGAATAATTTTGGCCACAACTGTATATGTGAACCCAGGCTTAGACACAGTGCATGGCATGGTAAACCAATAATGAGGAGCGATAAGCGGCAGAGTATCTGCATGCAATAATGGTAACTTGGAACAAGCTTGGGTATGTTTAGATTCTACTCCATACCCACATAAGTAAACCCACCAATAAGCTGTGACTGTACTGGTCTGTCATAAGCGGTTGAAGTATTTCCCCCTGCAGGCGCACCTATACATACCCCTTGTATACATTTGGCTGCCAGGGCAGAGAGTGTTTAGTCACTTATCAGTACAGGTGATGGCTCCCTGACGGGCTTACTCATGTGGATTGGAACTAGGATTCAGACATGCCCAAGCTCATTCCTACTGGTGGTTAGTTCTTTGCTCTCTGTTTGCCTTCTGCTTACCTTCATCTTTTAGCTGTTCAGCCTTTTCTATGTCGGCTGGAGAGACTGATGGCGATTCTGCTGGTGTCAATTCATCATTCTGCAGAAAACAACAAAATTTAATGTATGGCTCCAACAGAAAGCACAAAATGCATAAAAAGGTTTTAATTTCACAAACTCAAACAAAAGAGAGAGCAAGAGAAAGATCAGGTGGGACCAATTTATGTTTTTAAAGCCCAACTACAGTCAAAACTTCTTTTAAGTGGGAAAGGATTAGGACCTGTGCTGTTTGAGACCCTTTTGGGAGGATAGCCAATCATTTTTATCACTGTGACACCTCTAATGAGATAACAAGGGTCATTGATAAGGGTCATTGGAACAATATACAAATGAAAAGCTTATTAACCATTTATGTTCAGGAAGATTTAACCCCCATTCCTGAACAGGCCTTTTTTTGCAATACGGTGCTGTGCTATTTTAACTGACAATTGCACGATCGTGCAACGCTGTACCCAAATGAAATGTATGTCCTTTTTTTCCCCCACAAATAGAGATTTTTTTTGGTGGTGTTTGATCACCTCAGCCTTTTTTACTTTTTGAGTTATAAAAAAAAAAAATGACAATTTTGAAAAAAAAAAAAATTATTTTTTATTTTCTGCTATAAATTCAAATTTGTTTATAAATTTAGGCTAAAAAGTGCACAAAAGTTAAAGCGTTTACAAACTATGGGACATTATACTGGATTTTTTTATTTTTTAATACAAGTAATGGCGGCAATCATTGCTTTCTAGCGGGACTGCGATATTGCAGCGGACATTTTACTAACTGACACTTTGGGGGAACCAGTGACATTAATACAGTGATCAGAATAAAGGCGAAGAAAAAATGCAGTGCTACATCACAAAATTGCACAATATTTGTAAATAAAAAAATTTGAAAAATAAAAAAATTAAATACGAAAACCAAGAATCACCCAAACCAAAAAAAATAATAATTTTGAATCAACCAAAAAAGTCATTGTAAACTCAAGTCCAATCAAAATAGTGTTCTTCTGTAAACCCTCCTGTGAATAACGAAACTATGTGCAGCTGTCACAAATTCCAGTGAGAAAACATCCTCCACCATATTTCTGCTCACCTCACGCAGTGTGACCTCACATTGTACAATGTTACGGTCTACTGAACTTTTGGTCCCAATTGGACTCAGAAGATCAGCTTGTTAAATGAGGTCTCCAATGTATGCTTCCTCCTTATAAACGTCTTAGTGTCATCCGTATTCCTCATTAAAAATAACTCAACATAGTGCTTTATCCTATTAAACTTTTATTAAGCAATAAACCATAGGAAATGCACTCAAGTTCTGGAGATACATATCTGCACCACCTATGATGAACATCCGGCAATATATCGTTTAGGCACAAGATGGCAGTATCATCTGAACAGCTGAGTCTGTATGAGCTTGGAAAACCATCACCATACGGAATAGAATGCAAGGAAAAGCACGGGCCCTTCTCTGTAAATGCAATTGCCTGCTAAAATGCTGTTCCTGGAGTGGTTTCACAAATACTACAACCGCTGTCCCGATGAATGGAAACGTTGTGATGTCATCCGTTCGCTCCTGTATCACTAATACAGTGATCAATGCTAAAAATATACACTGATCACTGTACTAATGACACTGCTTGAGAAGGGGTTAATGTCTAGGATGATCAAAGGGTTGTGTGTGTCTAGCTATGTGCTTGGTGTACACTAAATGGTGTTGGTACAAGGGGAAGTGATGGATTGTGTTCCCAGCTGTGCTCTAACACATGATCGATCACCCCCCCTTCCCCTGTCAGAACAGACCTCTGCCTATGTAAACATAGGCAGAGCTCTGTTGTTCCCCCCTGCCCGATGATCTATGGGTGGCGGTGACCATCCATTCACTGGGACTCTGAGATCGACTTCTGCTATAACAGTTCACAGCAAAGGCGATCCGTTGCCGGCGCGCGTGCACCCCTGTAAGACGGAAGTGCAAAATCACGTACATATACGTGATTTTACACAGGAGGGCCGCTCTGTAGCAGTAAAATAAACCATATAAAAAATAAACCACAAAAGCAGCTTTTGCTGCAAAACTCACCTTAAATTGATTGCTGCCCACACAAAAATTATCTTCTGTCACCAGATGTCCTTAGTCTGACAGCCAGTATCATTCAACTCACTTCATCTGAGCCCAGCCTAACATGGATCATGGGCTTGTTCCAGACCATGATTGGACAGTGAAGGAGAAGCAGCACAGTGATGTCTCTCTGTCACTCAGATTTCTCCTCCTATCAGCATACTCCTTGTAGGCATATGAACTGACTCTGACTGGCTCCTTGTACTGCTTCTTCTACTCACATTCCTGTCCCGATATACGGGATATAACAGCTCAGATTTTTGGGTACTTACACTGCTTGCTTTAAAAGAATGCAGTCAACGGTGCATCATGGACTACAGAGCTGAACTGATCTGTATTTTTTATATGTAGCCAAGTCTGCAGCTCTGGTGGGAAGGGGACTCTGTCTGTGCTGCAGAGGGGACTTATACACAGGCACTGATTTTCAGGAGAGGTGAAATTATGAGCAGACAGAGAATTCCTGTTAGTTAGCGTCAGGAAAGTCAAATTGTGCCCATAGTTATGCGTAGGCGAAGAGTTGGTATTATCCGAACATCCATCTGCCACTAGAATGGCACCTAATGGGCTATTTAAACACTTCTGCTGCACTAGGACTTTGTCTTATGGTCTACACAGCATTCTGCTACTTGCTACCTGTTCCTGTGCCTGATCTCCTGTTGCCGTCCTGATCTGTCTGATCACGCTTTAACTCTGCCTGAACTGATCCCTGGCTTGCTCTTTGACCACGTCTCTGTCTGATCCTTCTGGCTTTTTGCTTACTGTTGCCAACTCCAGCCTGCACCTGACTACTTTTCTGCCTGCTGCTCTGTTCCTGACGTGCCTGCTAGTGTCTGACCTGGCTTGCCTGACCCTGCTCTGTGTCCAGCCTGTAGTGGCAATCCTTACCCCTACAGCCTGCCAAGCATCTGCTGTCCATAACCTGCCAGTCTGCCAAGTGCCTGCTGTCTGTAACCTGCCAGTCTGCCAAGTGCCTTCTGTCTGTAACCTGCCAAGTGCCTGTTATCTGTAACCTGCCAGTCTGCCAAGTGCCTGCTGTCTGTAACCTGCCAAGTGCCTGTTAACTGTAACCTGCCAGCCTGCCAAGTGCTTGCTGTCTGTAACCTGCCAGCCTGCCAAAGTGCCTGCTGTCTGTAACCTGCCAGCCTGCCTAGTGCCTGCTGTCTGTAACCTGCCAGCCTGCCAAGTGCCTGCTGTCTGTAAACCTGCCAAGTGCCTGCTGTCTGTAACATGCCAGCCTGCCAAGTGCCTGCTGCCTATCTACCAGCCTGCCAAGTGCCTGCTGACTGTCTACCAGCCTGTAAAGTGCCTGCTGCCTGTGACCTGCCAAGTACCTGCTGCCTATCTACCAGCCTGTCAAGTGCCTGATGCCTGTGACCTGCCAGCCTGCCAAGTGCCTGCTGCCTATCTACCAGCCTGCCAAGTGCCTGCTGACTGCCTACCAGCCTGTCAAGTGCCTGCTGCCTGTGACCTGCCAGCCTGCCAAGTGCCTGCTGCCTATCTACCAGTCTGCCAAGTGCCTGCTGACTGTCTACGTACCAGCCTGTCAAGTGCCTGCTGCCTGTGACCTGCCAGCCTGCCAGTGCCTGCTGACTGCCAAGTGCCTGCTGAGTGCCTACCAGCCTACTGAGAATGCTGCCCTGTGTCACGATTCAGCCTGTATCCGAGTGCACACAGACTTCTCATCCGCAGCCATCATCACCAAAACTGCCAGGCACTCATGCCACTCCAGGCTCTTGTGCCTCCTGTACTTTACCAGGGGTACCGATCCAGAGGTGTAAGAAATCAACTTCCTCTCCACGTCAGGCTCCATCTCCAGGTACGTGACACAGATGTAGGATATTGCAGAATAAATAGCAGTCAGTGTTAAGCCACCCTTCATCCACTAGAGGATACACTAAGCATGTAAACTGCTAGAGACTCTGAGGAGGAGTGTGAAGGACTGTGGGAGATGTAGTTTCCAGGAAAAAGTCCTAAAGGAAATAGGTACTTTTTGGGATAGAAGTTGTAGGAGGAGGAGTTGCTACAAGAGGAGAGGAGAGCAGAAGCCTGAGCTACAGATACAGAACCTCACAAGGAGAGAGAAAAAGGGGAGCTGCTGGTGTGGAGAGGCTGGTGATGCTGCTAAGTGCCAGTGCTCCCTGTGTCTCTAGAGAGGGACTGAAGTGTTGTACCTGCCAGAGACCACCATTCAAGGAGAGACATCTTGGAAGAAAACAGGCTGCAATGGGACCGCTGCACCTGAGCAAAATAGGAACACAGTATCAGCCATTCCAGAACATCATAAGATGTCCTGCGTCTGCTGTCTGAGTGAGGAGCTGGACGCTGAGGACACTGACTGCTGTACACTTTGTCAGAAAGGGAGTCTCCTCCTGCTCACTGGCAAAGAGTGGTAAGAGGCCGATGTTCAACCTGCATTACACCTTGTTAAAAGAAGGAGAGAGTTATTTGTAAGGAATACATTGGCAATGGCTGCACCAGTTCTTAAAGGGACATTATCATAAGCACTCCACCATAATGGTTGGGCCCCAACAAACTGGCCAACAGGAGACATAAGGAAGCATACTACTGACTGCTGAACTTTTATTGTGGCATATATACTCACCGGCCACTTTATTAGGTACACCTTGCCAAGAAAATATCCCCCACACCATTACTCCACCACTACCAGCCTGAAATCTTGATACAAAGCAGGATGTATCCATGTGTTCATCTTGTTTACACCAAATTCTGACCCTACCATCTGAATGTCGCAGCTGAAATGAATGCCCATTCTCCTCTGACATCAACAAGCATTTTCGTCCACACAACTGCCAGTCAGTGGATATTTTTTGGACCATTCTCTGTAAACCATAGAGATGGTTGTGCATGAAAAGCCCAGTAGATCAGCAGTTTTTGCAATACTCAGACCATCCCGTCTGGCACCAACAACCATGCCACATT